AGATTTTTCTGCAAATTCTTATGATTTTAGTTAGAAATATTTAATAAGCTAATAGATCATCATGTTCTTTTCGTTCTTAATTAACTGATATTGAATTCCATCTCTTAATATGATAGTACGAAGAGAATTTCGACAAGTTCAGATAAGTACTTACTTCCTCCGTATGAGCCACCGATGACGATTATTGGAGAATCGTGGGCAGATAACTTCTTCTTAATATGTAAGAGAATAGCAGCATAATCAGCAATAGCTTGGGCTGAACTCAAATAACCGAGAGTACTAGCATTCCTCAATGCATCTTTTCCGGATCCAAATGGCATTGACTTTCCATAGTAGCGATGCTGTGATGCATATTGGCTATATATCTACTTAGTTTTTTACAATCAAATCAATATATCACATATCTAACAATGAGAATTTATTTGGCCTGAGCTTCATGGAACTTATTTGAGATATTGTTCTATCGTAAATTTACTATACAAGTAAGAAACTATTTTAACTATAACTGATATTCAAGAGCTTTTTCTCCAACGATGAATATATAAATTTCGATGTACGTACACGTACCTCTAAGTATACGATGAGGGCTTTAAAACGGGGGGCATTATCTCGTGGAAATCCAATGGATAAAGCATCATCAAGAGCCTCCTCAGCACCAAGATAAGCGAAAATTGGAGCAGTAGAATTGGCACCAGCCCAATAATTAAAATCCATAACATATCTTTGGCAAAAAATTGTATGACTTTCTGGTCTGTGATTGAAATGATCAAGTGTCTGAGAGTAATAAAATTTTGCAACACTTTCCGAAGAAATTGATGTTAATTTCTTACTTCTCAAAGCTCCAAGTCTCGGAATCTTACTCCCCTCTCCTATGGATAAAACAAGTGATGATGAGAAAATTAGCAGCACATATATAACACACTCCATTACTTTACTACCCAGATGATCTTAAGAATACCTGCACTTAATGCCTTTCTGTACATACATATATATACTCTTCACCAACTTTTGGATTGTGTTATCTCATACTTAGTCATCAATGTTATTGTGATTGTTATTATTATTATTATTAGTTAATTCATATACAGTTAGGTGGTGTTGACGTGTTATTAATGGTGTAAACTTTGCTTTTTATATTGGATCATTCTTGTTAGAGAGATTAATTATGTCTATCTCTTTATTTTAAAGAAAAAATTTAGTATATTTATTTATTTAATAGTTATAATTATTTTTCATTGATTATTTGTAGGGAAACTTAATTTTTAATTGTACATAAAATTCTTCAATAATAAATTGTAGTTGTGCCTTTTACGGCTTTAATCAATCAAGTCATTATATTCTTTGGACACAAGATAGTAATTGAGTTCTTGTACTCGAGCTTTTGAAATTTAACTTCAAAAGGATTTGATCTTAGTTGAACTACTGGGCTTAAACTTTGGAGTTTAAGATAAAGCCCAGTAAAATCAGATTAATGGTGTGATAATATATTGGTCGAACACCCAAGAAGAACTTTGAAGAATTCAGCCTCAAACTATATATGTCCATTGATGTACTGGAAATTGATTTTGGGGTAAGGTGTAAAAAGGATAAAATTGGAGGCTCAGTAGAATTGAAGGAAACTGAAAAGATCTTTTCACTGTAAAAAGGTCTATTATGTGTGTGTGTGTGTGTATAAGGCTACATAATATATATATATATGTATTGTGCATCTTGTTTCATGCCATCATCAACTTAAGGGGCAAAGGGGTTTTCCAGCACATAAAATAAAGTTAGTTTCCTAATTATGGTTTAAATATGTATTTATTATAACTAATTTGTCTTTAACTCGAAATACAATACATGACTATAAATACAAATCTAACATGCAGCCTAAGGAGCTTTGTTGTCAAGAACTTTGCTGGTAAGTTTAGCATTGTACTCTGCAATCCAAAGTTCTATGATCTTTATCTCTTTGTCTCGTTGAGCAACCAACCATTGAGGGTCATTATTCGGGTCAGGAGTTTGTAAATCCGCACAGTGAGCACCTATAGATATAACCAGTTCATAATCAGTGCACCAAGACATAGTTTTCACCTTCTATTAGTTTATAAAAATAACTACACATGCAAGATGTATGAGCCCACACCTTCATTTGTATATATAGCCAAGATGCTATCAGATAAGTCTTGTAAAACTCTGTCATTGCCGCCAACATAAAATTGAATTAATAAGAAAGTGTAAAAATCATATCATAAGACTTTAGAAATTTTTAACATCTTACCCTCCGGAACTGTATGGATCTCGTAGACCATTGGAGAATATTATGTTGCTTCCAAAGTTTGATAACACAGATTTTATATCCTGAAGATATTAATTACTAGAAATGAGAAATACATGAAGTGAAATTTATATATTAATAGCAATAGAACTAATAACACTCTATCCTTTTAATGACAACATATGTAGATTTATATAGTCAGATTCAAACTTCTTATACCTTTATAGAGAAATGTAAAAATATTATTCTTGACAAAAATTCATCTCATTGAGATTTTGAAAAAAGTGAAATAGATTATGAGGAGAAATATGTATGTATGTATGTGTATATATATATATGTAGCTCAAACTTACATGGCCACCAAATTCTGTTGTAACCCAATTAGGCCTGGGTGTGACGCCAAAAAGTTGAATGCAGTCCCTGGTGTAGTTGTTAATGTCAAAAGGATATGCTTCAAACATGGTGTCATTAGGTCCCCACCCAATAGGCATCACCATCTCCGTACATTTCTGTGATATCGTATGTATAAGTTCACACATTGGTATCTCATACAACTTACATATTATATATATATATATATTACAAACTCTAATTGCACTTTCTTCTACCTCTCTCTCCTATTTTTTTTCCAATTTCAACTTTCTTAAGATCTGTTTGAAGATTAATTGGCAGCACATTTTAAAATTCCATTCGTTTTGTGAGAGCTTACAATATATTTTTTAATTCTATTTGAAATTATTTCAAATCTCAAGTTTATTATTAAAAGAAATATAAGGTGAATATGGTAGTATGATTTTTCCACTAAGTTTGAACTTATAGTATGCATTTGTGATACAAAGTTTTATCAAGATCTTCCCTGAAGTAGAAAATTCAAGAAATATTCTTAAAAATTTAATAGCTTCTTCTATCTTTTTGAGTCTTTAAACCGGTGTCTGACCAATCTGAAACCTATACATTAGCTATAAATTTAGACACAATTTTTAGTTTCTAATATTACTATTAAATATAAGAATATTTTTAATTAAGGTGCGCTCATGGAATTTTAGAATAAAACATTAATGATATCTTAATACTAGATTACATTCTTAAGACTTGAGCAGTAATCATTATCTTGTGTCTAACGTTCTCTACGTTATCTATTTTGATATCCAAACAAAAGATATAATTACATTGTTATATAATTATCAACAATATATATATAAAAGCACTGTATGATTAGTACCTGCCATTCCCACCCACTTTGGTTCGATGGCTTGAGATCAAACACATAAATGCATGAGTCTCCTCCAAAGCTAGCATTAAGTCCTTTAGCAATTGTATCAAGAATATATGTTTCTTGAGGTACTCCATCTATTGCTCTACATATAGTTCCAACTAAGTCATACGGGGGATTGTCGTACTGAGCAGAACTCATATAAGATAATTCTAAAAAATTTTTGAGTTGTCTCGACGAATTTAAAGACCTGAAGAGAAAAAATTAAAAAAAAAAAAAATCATATATAATAAATCAAAGATAACAACTATATATACACGTATATTATATTGTGATTTTAAATTAGTGACTAAAGTTTTGATTCTCGTATACATGCACGTGGCGAAGATATTGCTAAGGTTCATTAGACCATTTGTTTGAGCTGCAACTTTGTCAATTTCAAACCAGGACTCTCTTATAGTACTATAACAATTTTCACTAGTTTCCTGCACAGACAAAATACAAGGTAATGTAAGTATATATGTACATATTGACACAATCAATTTGATTGAAACAAAAAATTTAAAAAAAAAAAAAGAAAGAACCATGAGATAGTTACATAAATAATATGCTTGGGTGTAGAGTCATACTCTGAAATCCTTGGTGACAACTGCACCGTAGCCATCATGTGGTGTGATATCTTCAAAATAGAGGATGGGAGCAGAAGATGCTAAAGCCCCAATAACTATGTGTGGATATTTTAGACGGAACCAAGAAGCGAGCACTAGCATTATTTAAGTACATGCTTATGAGAATATTGTTGTTTGTACTAATTTATGTGCATTAAAACTATTTTTTTTTTTTTCTAATATGATAACAATGTAATATTAAATAATTTTATGTAGCTTACTTCCACCGTAGGATCCTCCAACAGCTATTACCGGAGAATTTTGTGCTGAAAGATTCTTCTTAATACATGTTATCAATTGTGCATAATCTGCTAATGCTTGCGCGGAGGTGAAGTATCCAAGGGTGCTAGTATCTTGAAATGATTTAGATCTATCTCCAAATGGCATTGAGTCACCGTAGTAGCGATGCTGCATCAAGGCATGGGATAATAAGAAAGACGAGTAAGCATTAGGTTAACATAGTAGTGACGTTGCATTAATATATAAATAATAGAAAAACGAGTAAAGATGAATTAGCAGATTTCATAAATATAATTGATTTATTTTATATTTATATTAAAAATTATAGAAACAAAATTTATAAAATATATCAGTATATGAAATGTTATAACTGATTACTTTTATTTCAAAAATAATTTTTTAAAAAGAAAAAGACTCAGTGCAATTTTAGATTAATATTACACACATTTTATAATGATATTAAATTATACACTATAAAAAATACAGAAAAATTATTAGAGTAAGTTCGAATGAATAAAAATATTATAAACACTAATTTTTAGTCGATAGATATTGATATTAATTTAAAAATAATAATTTTCAAAAACTATACAATTATAAATCTATTGAGTTAAAATAATAGTATTAATTTTATAAGTTTGAACTTGTAGTAACACTATGCAAAAAATACTACGTTTGTTCCGATCTCCAAAACCTGACCATTAATTATAATCAATTCAAGAAAACCTTTAAAACTCAGCCTTATGCAAAGTGGATCATAGTACCTCAATATAGAGCAGGAAAGCTTTAAAGCGCGAAGCAAGTTCAACGATAAATCCAGCGTAGGCAGCAACTCCTTCAATAGGAGCCTCATCGCCCGTGTAGACGAAGATAGGCGAGGTGGTGTTTGCACCACCCCAGTACTTAGAGTTGATAATATATTTCTGCTTGAAGGTCATGTTACTTTCTGGTTTGAAGCCGAAATGATCAAGTGTCTGTGTGTAATTGAAAACAAGAAAATCGGGTGGGAGCTGATCGTAGCCAGACATTGTTTTCACCGATCTTTTAGCCGTAGTACCAGAAGTATATGTCAATCCCATGCCATATCTTGTAGCCGAAGGACTGGCTGCTGATACGCATGTTAATGTTATTGTGGCAAAAAGAACAATTGAGATCATGAGCAGTTGACGTGAAAGCTTGTTTTTCATTTTTGAGTTGCAGAGATCGTAAGCATATATGAATATCGGCCTGTGGGTTAATTGATCGGTGGATAAATATAAGTAGTTTGTTTTGCATTTTCTTGGAGATGGGATTCGTAAATTTCCAAGCTCTTGTTTTGTACTTATACATACACATTCATTCTTATGGATGTATTGTTTTAAAATTAATTAAGCCGGCTTATTTACATGATCCCACTTAATTAAACTTGACAAAAGATTTATACATGGATCTTATAATAATATATGTATATTGTGTATTTACAAACCTTCATTAAATTTAATAACAAATTAGAGAGATAACTAATATAACAATGTCTATTAATTTATTATGTTTAATATTTATATATAATCAGGAGAATAAGTATGCCTTATATACCATTTAGGGTTTAATGAAGTTGTGGAAATTTGTCCTCCTTTTCTTGATCTAACCCTGAATATCATTACAAGTAGAATTGACAAATTCTAGCTTCAAGTAGCCAAAGAAAGCACCAATATAATCTGAATTTCAATTAAGAAATTGAAGAAGTTTAATTACTTAATGATTAATTATAATTAACTAATTCATCTGTATCTGATTGGATTGTTAATTCTGTTTGGATTCAAGTGATATCTTAGATAATTTACATAAATCAAAATAAATAAATAAATAATATCCCATTCTCAACTTTTTTTTTTTTTTTTAAAAAAAGAATAAATAAGACACATCTATGTAATTAATTTTTGCGAATTGGACAAGCAAATTATATAATTCGAGCTCATGAACCGATCATATTTGAATGTCTACTTTCTAACAGGCTTCTTAGCAAGTAACTTTGTGCTATATTTAGCTCCGTACCCTGTAATCCAAGATTGAATGATGCTTACTTCTTTCTCCCGCATGGCGACTAACCAGTCAGGATCGGTTGAGTAAGGAACTTGAAGATCTAAGCAGTGAGCACCTGAAAAGCATTATTAAACATTAGTTAATAGTTTACAAATTGTAAAATGATCCTAAGACAATGGGGATATATAAAAACATAGTTTTACTTTTTATTTTCCAAATTCATATATATAAATAAAAACGTAGTTGTTCGATACTCGTACCTTTTTCAGTATGGATAGCAACCACGGTATCGGATATGTTCTCTAGAACTCTGATATATTTTTAAAGGAAAAAAAAAACAGGTCATGGAAAAAGGAAACAACCAAGTAAGATTGATATGAGATGGAAAATAATAAAAGTTGCCAGAGAGTTTACCCTGCAGAACTATATGGGTCTCGCAAGCCATTGGAGAAGATTATATTGCTAGCAAAGTTCCCTAGTACAGACTTTATATCCTGAAGATATTTACAATAACTGTAAGTGGTATTTACTCGGAATGAAAATTAATTATTCGAGTTCGTTACATACTCTTAGAATATCTTAAAAAATGTTAGACATATAAAATAAAACAAAAGGAACTGATGAACAGGAGAAACTTACGTGGCCACCATATTCTGTTGTGATCCAGTGAGGTCTGGGCTCGATGCTGAAACGTTGTCGGCAGCTGTTGGTGTAGGCTTTGATGTCAAAAGGACTTGCTTCAAACATTGTTTGGTTAGCCTCCCATCCAATTGGCATTACCATCTCAGTACATGTCTAAGAGATCAGATTAAATAGAATTGGAGTAAATTTTCAAGAACAAACAAAATTACACCTGATTATATATATTAAGGTATATATACCTACCTGCCATCCCCAACCACTATGGTTGCTAGGCGTCGATTGATATAAATTGTAGCATGAAGAAGTAGCAGCAGCAGAAGTATTTAGTACTCTACTGATTCTGCCAAGAATATCTGTGCCTGCTGGAGCTTCATTAATGGCATTACATACGGTGCCAATTCGATCTCTCGGAGGATTATCATACTGAGCTGCACTCATATAGATGCTGGATAACCAATTCTTGACCTCTCCTGATGAATTCAAAGGCCTTAAACAAAAATTTTAATTAGAAAAATGTCAAAAAAAGATCGATGTGAATAAATTAGCATGATATAGATATATATAAATTTAGTTAAACATTAATTACGTGCAAGTGTTGAAGATTTGGCTAAGCTTGGTTAGACCATTTTCTTCAGCTGCAACTCTGTTGATTTCGGACCATGAGTCTTTTATAGTGTTGTAGCAGCTCTCACTGTTTTCCTTTACAGCCAAATATATAAACATATATATACACCAATATCTGTACATGACATGCACATATAAATAAGTAATGTACGGTTTTAGAGTCTTACTTTAAAGTCGTTGCTGACAACTACACCATAGCCATCATGTGGGGTTATGTCTTCAAAGTAGAGAATTGGAGCAGATGATGCCAATGCCCCAATAACAATATGCGGGTATTTTAGGCGAAACCAGGAAGCAAGCACTGCATCATACATTTATATCTGTGTAATCAACATTCATAACATATATCTAAAGAGAAATATAAATAAATTGTGAGTTTGAGTCAATCTATGTTCGTTATATTCTATTTTATTATCATTGATGAATGTATAAATACCTACTAATAAAAAAAGAAATATAAAGGATAGATTGCTTACTTCCGCCATAAGATCCCCCAAAAGCAACAACAGGCAAATGCTGAGCTGAAAGATTCATCTTAAGATTCGTAATAAGCTCTGCATAATCCGCTAATGCTTGTGCAGATGTAAAGTATCCAAGAGTATTGGCATCTTGAAATGAATTATCTCCAAACGGCATCGACTCACCATAATAACGATGCTCAATATAAACAAGCAAAGCCTTAAACTGTTTAGCAAGATTAACCAAGAACCCACTGCCAGAAGCATCGTACTCAATGGCTTGCTCGTCGCCGGTGTAGACAAAGATTGGATAACTGCCTTTGTTGCCACCCCAGTAATCCCAATTCACCAAGTACTTGTGTTTGAATGTGTTGTAACTCTCTGGTTTATAACTGAAGTGATCCAGTGTCTGCGTATAATAATATGCTTTGAAACCTGCTGGTAATGACACATTCACATCATTTTGTGAAGATAATTCCCTAATTGATCTTAAAGCCCAGGGACTGGTAGCTGATATGCACACTACTTTAATCAAAACCACGTATACACATGCAGTTAAAACCTTCAATTGTAACTTGTCTGCCATTTTTATTGATCTTCTCTTCTCGTACTTTCAAGGATCAATATATACATATATATGTGTTTGTGTGTTTGGAGTCTGTTGAGTTACGTACGTGGGTAATGGAGTAATTCAAAAGCAAGTTTAGATTAAAGTGACTTCTAGTTGTATCATCATAACAATATTTGATTCCGAATGAATAACAAGTAATCTCAAATATACATCTTCTACTTTCAGTCATTTAACATAAGTAGAATTCTTTTGAGTTATGTTTCTTACTTTCTTTCGCCGCTACGTCAGGTTCCTAGCTTTATCTCTTTTAAATAAAGAACCCTTTTAAACAGTTATTTTTACAGCAGTAAAGTATTCTGAAAATTGAATACCTCATCGATATGTATTGACATATATCGAATATTAATACCAGTATCCAACTAAGCCTTATTTTCTAAATAACCAGGAAAATTAAAAAAAGAGGAGAGTATGGAAGTTGTTAGTTTTACAGCTTTATCTTTAAATCAGAAGCACAAAACAAAAGCAAGTAAAAATTCCCAGATCAAAGTTATAGAACAAACGAATTCGGAACAAAAGAACCCCAAAATCTCAAATTAAATTTACGCACACAGATTGAAGAATTCCAGAGAAAGAGAAGGAAAGAAGTATACTGTTAGCAAGCCACTGCCCTTGGTCCCTTCATTTTCTTCCCTTTCTTTTTGCAGCCCCAATCCCTTTTCCACTCTCAACATGATTTTCTGTTTCTCTTCCTCACCTCTCTGTCGACTCCACTCTCTTCTTCTCTTTTTTCTTTTTTTCTTTTTTTTTCCTTGTTCTTTTTCGATTCCTCTCTTTGCGCTGCTCCTTCATCTTGTCGCTCAGCCACCTAACTCTGCTGCTTTTTTCTGCTTCCCTTCACGCCACATCGAGTCACGGTCATCATCGTCGTCATCATCATCTTACCTAACCTTTTCCTCTCTTGACGAACGAAGAAGAGGGTCGGAAGCCCTTCCCAAAACGGCGTCATTTGGAGTAGGCCAATTCAGAGAAGCCTTTGTTTCGAGCCTGGCACGTTGAGAATAAAGGGAAAAGGAAAATGGGCTTAGTCCTTACGCCTGGCCGGAGAGGAGTAAAAGGCAAAGCAAATGGGGTGGACTTTTCTTTTGGGCTTGACTAATTGATCCTTTAGAATTTTGACATAAAGCATTTTAGATTTTGAACATTATTTATTCACACAGACATAAGTTTTAACTGTAATAATATATTTTAATTATATGTGTACATATATATATATATATATATGTTGAAAGCTTTCTCTAATTATGTGTGAACTGTAATCATATATTTTAATTATATGTGTACATATATATATATATATATATGTTGAAAGCTTTCTCTAATTATGTGTGAACTGTAATCATATATTTTAATTATATATGCACATGTACAGTGTAGTGTGGTATGATAATATCAGAATATGATAATGATAAAGTTATATTATGTTTGAAAATATTAGGTATTGATAATTATAATTATTTTTATTTAAATTAATATGATGATATCATCGTATATTTAATTAAATTATTTTTTTGTGTGATTATGTAATAATAAATAAATAAAGATAAAAAAAATAGAACTTTGGGTGCATAAGGAGATCAAGAAGCAGCAAATATATATATATATATAATTAAATAAATTAGCGAAATAAAAAAGAAGTTCAAGTGGTACCATTGCATATATATAAATATATGTAATTAAATAAACGAAATTAAAGAAAAAATAAAATTATTTTTGTATATTCTTATTTTTTAATTATTTTTGTATATTTCTATTATTTATATTATTTTTTTAGTTAATCTATGACAAATATGAGATTAAAAAAAATGGTGAGAATATAAATGGAAGCAAAATTTTTTACCACTGAATTCGATAGTTTGTAAAAATAAAAAAAAAATAATAATTTTAAGAACCATGCGAGAATAATAAAAAAATCATACCATATATTTAAAAGTAGATTCAAACAAAATAAAATTATTTTAATATTATAAGTTTTGCGATAAGAATAATATCTTAATTTTTGTACTTCCAAATTTCACATCTACTTATTCAAAAACTTAGTAGCAATGTCAATGAATATTTAACATTGTGATTATTATTGATCATCTACTCTGTTTTTTATATTAAAATAGGAATTATATTAAAATTAAAAGAATTCAAAATAAATAATAAAAAAATAAAAAATTATATCTTTAACTTTTATTTACAATTTTAATTTGTTTAAAAGTGCAACTTTAAATCTTATAAAAATTATAGAATTTTTCGTTTTCAAAATGTTTAATTTATAATGTTTGAATTAATAAAACATATAATTTAACTCATTAATTTGTTAATAAAGTTATAATAATTCAAATAAGATATAACTTATACGAAAAGAAATAATATTTTTTAACGCATAAATATTTTTAATTGGGATAAATCAACAAATTAAAAGATCAAATATAATTTTTTTTTACTAAGTATTGTCTTAATTTCTTATCAAATCCAATGCATGTGTTAAACTTGTATAAAAAAAATATGCATCTTATTTTCTAATTACTATTATTTTTTTAATAATTTAATTTGAATTAATAAAACCAGAAAAAATAGAATAGAATGATTAAAATATCTTATAAATTCGTGTACTAACTAATTTTTCTATCTAAATTTTTATATTATTTTTTCTCAATTATAATCTTGTA